GCTCGCTGCCCCGAAAAGAGCAGCAGGTTCGGTCCTGCGGCAGGGCACGTGCCAGAAGCAACCCAGCAACGTGTAAATAAATGAAGCAGATGGTGTCTGTGTCTTTTTCTCAAAAACCATTAGATTTTTAAAAGTTGAAATTTACATAGCAGACCAATGGAAGTGGAAGGAAAGCAACTAACAAAGGGCCACAAAAAGTGAACCGGAAGAGTTCGTCGCGATCAGAAGCAGGGGAAGCGGCTGGTGCCGTGGCTACTGGAAAAGACAGATCTGCGAAGGAATGACACGGGTTTCAGAGCCGGAAAAGAGCAGGGGCTGGGGGTGGGGGGGATGCCAGCCGGCCCTGCAGGTCCATCTGCAGCCCTCGGTGCAGGTGCAGTTCAAGCCCTGCTTGGCGGCTGCTCCTCCTCCCAAAAGGTAGGAGGCCACGCCCCATAGGAGCACACCCCCAGAAGTCAAAGCTGGGCGTGATGGAGGGAAGTTATTGTAGCAGAATGACAAAGGATTATAAGGGAACTAAGTGGCAATGGAAAAAAATACAATAAAGGTTGAATTTAAAAAGAACTGCAATAGGGGGCAGCGGGGAGAGAGCAAAGATGAGCAGCAGGTGCTCAAGGTCGGGAGGGCAGGGAAGGCAGGAGGAAGAGAGCTCCCAGGACAGCCGTCCTGCCCCAGGCAGGGTCCAGGCAGACAGATCAGTGACACCATGCAAGTCCTAGCGGTGGCTCCTGAGCATGAGGCTCAAGACACCTCCCCTTCAGACACTGAGGGGTGATGTGGCAGGAATGCCAGGGTGCTCAAAACACTTAATTTTAAGGGCTTGTCTGATTAGACATCTTGTGGCTGTACAGATGAACCCACCTTTTTTTTATATTACTTATTTTTACTGAGAGGGGAAGGGAGAGAGAAAGGGAGAAACATCAATGTGCAGTTGCCTCTCATGCGCCCCTCACTGGGTATCTGGCCTGCAACCCAGGCATGTGCCCTGGCCAGGAATTGAACCAGTGACCCTTTGGTTCACAGACTGATGCCCAATCCACTGAGCTACACCAGCCAGGGCTGAACCCATCTTCTTTAAAAAATTATTTTTATAGAGAATGGGAGGGAGGGAAGGATGAAGGGAGAGACACATCAAGTGTGAGAGAGACATCGATAAGTTGCCTTTTGGACGCCCCCCACTGGGGACCAACCAACAACCCAGGCGTGTGCCCTGACTGGGAACAGAACGGGCAACATCTCCGTTTGCAGGCCGGCACTCAGTCCGCTGAGCCGCCCCACTGAAGTCTGTAAACAGGTGTACGGTTTCCAAATGCTGTTGCAAGTTTATAGGGTGTCTGTGTATTTTTCTGTTTATATTTTATACCATGAGCTCTAAGCATGCCCTTCTCTTTCAGATGTGATGTTCTTAAACTATTTTCGTGTGCACCCTGACATCGGGGTAGGTCTTCAGTTCGTTTTTGTTCTACAAAATTTTTATTAAGGCGTAGGACAGTGGTCCCTGTCCACTGAGAGCTGGAGAACTGCTCATTGCTGGGAGGTGTGAAAACGCATCGCAGCTTCCACCTATTTTATCTTTTTGAGTTCAGATTCATTTCCTCTGACTCCTTTTCATAGTGGCCTTCACAGGTACAATTTTTCTCACTTTGGTTTAATTACAGATTTTTAAAAGCCTCTCATCCAGGTTCCTCTCCTCCATTTGCTTCGGTCTCTCCATTTCCTGTTAAAAGGTCTTTTCAAATGTCTAATGAGCCCTCTTTCCCTGTTCGTAACTCAGAGTGACACACGGGAGTAGGTGGGGCCATGCCCCTCCAAGAGTGTCAGAAAAGCTTTGAATAAAAGGGGCTTAGACAAGACCCGAGGATGGGTCTTCTCTTTGGTGCCGGGTGGTCCAGGGCGGCTCCTCCAGAGGAGGGGGAGGGGGGGCCATACCACTGACGTTCCATTGGCCAGGACTGAGCACACGCAGCTGGGACATGCCAGGCCACGTGCCCAGGTGCCTCTGGCGAAGTCACTCAGAAATAATGGACAGATGAATGGATGTTGGGAACAGCGGCATTCCCCGCCCCTAACAGCTGGGCAGATGTACCAGGGCGGATGCAGCCCTTACCTGCGCAGGCCTGGGTGCCCCTAGACCACCGCAGAGTGCTCCTGGGCGAGCTGGTGAATGTTGCTTCTGGGACCCCGTTTCTTCCTCCCAGGAGGCACAGGGGTCCTTCTGGAAGCAGCGTCGGGAAGGGAGGCTGGGTGCCACGCCCCACGGAGTGCAGAGTTCCAGTCAACGCCCCTCTTCTCAGCCCACAGCCACATCGACCCCACGACCACTTTTCAGTGCTTGCTGTGTCCGGGGCACTCGTGTTCTCACGGGCGTCCTCAGCCGGGCGGGCCGGGCGGCAGCACGTCGTCAGTCCCGACTCACGGAGAGGGACTCCGAGACGCAGAGCTGAGGCACACGCCCGCTCGGGGCCGGGGCCGGGGCCGGGGCCAGGCTGCCGTGCCGTGGGAAAGCACTGGGCGGTCCGGGCCTGGACACAGGGCCCCACTGTCCCGAGGGAGGGTGAGAGTTGGGGCTGCCAGCCAGTGCCCTGCTCGGGCAGAGCCGCACCCACCGTTGCTGGAAACGTGTCTCGGAGGCCTGGACGGTAGGAGTAGTGAAGGGGCGCCCGCCCCGCCGGGCGGTAAAAAGCGCACTCAGGTCCGAGCAATGCAAATGGTGCGGTCGGAGCAGGGCCCCGCGTGCCAAGCCTGTGAGGAACAGGCCGCCTCGCAGGCCCCCGGGGAGCAGTGGAGCGGAGTCCCAGCCTTGGGCCCTAAGCCGGACCGTCTGGCGCTGACCAAAAATAGATGCAGAGTAAATAAATAGAACCATGTAAGTACCGGGAACCCAAAGGACAACCCGTTTTTAGCTTCAGCACTGGGGAGACCTCCCAAACACGACCTCAAACCCAGGAATGGCAAAGCACCCAGGACAGCGCCGTCGCCTGGCAGAGCCGGTGCAGGCACGGCCCGAGGCCAGGGCCTGGGAGGACTGCGCACAACTCACAGACAAAAGGCTAAGACAGCGAGCCAGACGGGTGCAAAAAGGACAGAAAAGGTTTTAAAGTGCGACCTTCCCAGACCGCTGCCAGCGCCCAGGCCGCAGCCCCGCGCGGCAGTGCCCCGCAGGGCCGGCAGGTGGCGCTCGCCGTCTACTTTAGCGCCCAGGATCCGGATCCCAGCGACCGACCAGGACATGGCACCTCTGTCGCAAAGGCTGTCAACTCAACGGGTGCCGCCGCCTCGCTTCCGCCCGCGTGTCTAAGGCACGGAGAGCCTCCCCTCACACACAGCCACCTGCCCCGCTCTGCCCACCACGGGGCTCCTACCCCTCAGGCCTCTGCCTGCAGGCACCTCTGGCTGCCGCTGGACCCGGTGTGAGCAGGTTGGCCTGTGCTCCAAGGGGCAGTGGGGGCTGGTCACCATCGCTTTCTGCTTCTCTGGTGGAACTCCTGAGACCCCCACGGAGCTGGGGCAGGGGCCCAGGGTCCTCTGTACCTGAGGGGAAAGGAGGGGCCAGGGAAAGCCCCTCCCCAAACCTTGACCCCCAAGCTAGATGGTGCGGAGGCCTGGAGACCCTGCTCAGGGTCCCCACCAGCTGCAGAGGCCTGGTGCTGGGGTCATGGTCCTCCAGGCCAGGTAACGAGGGGTGCTGGGCTGGCGTGGGGGCCTCTGACCTTTGCCTTCGGGTTCTGCTAGAGGCCTTGAGATCTGGTGGTGACCTGAATTTGGGCGATGGCCAGGAACTGGTGAGGCTGGGGATGGGGTGCTCCATGGCTGTCCAGAGCTGGGGACCCGTATCTCGTGAGCACTGCGGCCCACTGAGTCCCCCCCTCCCCCAAGGGGAGAACAGCCCCCAGGGAGCCCCAGGTACACAGCCCAGTGGCCGGCGACCACTCCTGGCCTCCCTGCCCAGGACACAGAGCCACTGTCCAGCCAGACCCCACTCCCTGAACGGGAGGTGCTCCTGCTTCATGTCCTCTCAGACCGGGCAGGCCTGGCCAGCCGTCCCCTGGCCCTGGAGGGCTGGGAGAGCCAGGTAGGAATGGGACTGAGCGGCAAGGGTCTTGGGGCCAATCCTGAAGACAAGACTGGGAGAAAGTGGACTTGCGGGGAAGGAGGGTTCTCTGTCCAGCCTTGACCCACGTCCGGGACCTCCGGGAGGGCTGCCCCGGGGGTTAGCCAGAGCAGAGAGTGGTCTGCCCTGTAGCTGCTTGTTTTGTGTGAAGAATGAAAGAAGTTTTCACCCAGGGAAGCCTCATCGTCCACGCCCCTCCCTCGTCTGTGCAGTCCAGCGGGGGAGGGCCGGAAGCCCTGGGGGCTCAGGGAGTTTCCGTCCTCGCCTCCTCCTCGCGGCAGGACAGGCAGGACTCTAACTTGACGTCCCCACCTTGCGTCCGGGGTGGACCGGCGTGATCGGGGCTTTGCAAGTCCCAGGGCGCTGCCTCTCCTCCCCGTCCAGAAGCACCACGTCCTCGACGGCGTGGCCTAAGGGAGTCGCGGAGCTGACCCCGGGACGACTGCCCGCCACAGCCCACGGGAAAGCCTCAGAAACCCTGGCGGGGGCAAGGAGGGGAGCGGGCATCGGAAGTGAGCTCGCACGGCGAGAAGGAGGCGCAGGTGGACCTGCGCGGAGCCGACACGCCCGCGCGGCAGAGGACAGGGGTCTCGAGGCCGCGGTGGCCGCCACCAGGGGCTCGGGTTCGCTGCCCCGTGCCTATTCTCGCCTGAGATCCACCCTCCGGGGCCGGGGACCCACAGGCCGCGGCCCAGCAAGGGTTAAGGGGGGCGGAGCGTGGGGCGGCCCCGCCTCCGCCGCCGCGCCGGGTCCGAGCGCGCACCGGGCGCGGGGGCGAGTCAGAGCGGGCGGCGGCGGAGGGCGCGGTGCGGCGGGCGAGTGCGGGGAGCGGCGGTGGTGGCGGCGGCGGCGTGGCCCGCGTAACCTTCCGCCCGCGCCCGCGCGCCCGCGCCCGGCCCAGCTGCAGGATGCACGCTCCGCCGCCGCCGTCGCCGCTGCTGCTCCTACTGCTCCTGCTGCTGGCCGCCTGCGCGCCGCCCCCCTGCGCCACGGGCGTCCCGACGCCCCCGGGCTGGGAGCCGGGGGCCGACGCTCCTTGGTGCCCCTACAAGGTGCTGCCTGAAGGCCCGGAGGCGGGCGGCGGGCGCTTGTGCTTCCGCAGCCCTGCGCGCGGCTTCAGCTGCCAGGCGCCCGGCTGCGCGGTGCACGCTTCTGCCGGCCACTTGCTACGCGCCAGCGTCCTGCGCAACCGCAGCGTGCTGCTGCAGTGGCGCCTGCCCCCGGCCCAGGCGCTCCGCGTGCGCGCCTTCGCGCTCAACTGCTCGTGGCGCGGCGCCTACACTCGCTTCCCGTGCGAGCGCGTGCTGCTCGGCGCCTCCTGCCGCGACTACCTGCTGCCCGACGTGCACGACGGCGTGCGCTACCGTTTGTGCCTGCAGCTGCTGCCTCTGCGCGCCGAGCACGCCCCCGCTGGCCCCCCGGAGCCCTCCGGGCCCACCGAATGCGTGGAGTTCGCCGCGGAGCCCGCCGGCATGCGAGAGATCGTCGTGGCCATGACGGCGGTGGGCGGCTCCATCTGCGTCATGCTCGTGGTCATCTGCTTGCTCGTGGCCTACATCACGGAGAACCTCATGCACCCGGCCTTCGGGCGCCCGGGCCTGCGCCGGCAGCCCTGAAGCTGGAGGTGACCGCCCACCGGGGCTCTGTCTACCGACAAATGCCAGGGAGGCCTCAGGCCCACTCTTGCCACCTGGTTCCTGCTCCCTCCTTAGGATCGCCATGCAGGGCCTGCTGGAGATGGAGAGGGCACCGGCCCGCCCGCGCCAGGGCCAGGAGTCATCGAACGACTTTGCCAGCCTGGCATCCGCTTCCCAGAATCCAGTTCGGAACTGCCCCTTGGGCCTGGGCACGGGTGCCAGCTGCATCCAGGGCTCTTCCTGCTTCCCAGAAGCCTGTATAGGGGCCCTCAGGACACAGAACCCCTTCTAGCGAGAGCCCTTAGGACCCCGCCTGCCCGTCGCCACCCTGCAGCTGCAACCTGTGCCAAGTGGGAAGAATTGGGCTGTCCTCCTTGCTTGGTCACTGTGCGCTTTGCCGGCCCGAGGTCCCCTCGGAGCTTGTCCTCCCACCCCACCCCAGCGGGCTTAGGTTAGCTTTGTGCCTTAGTGTCTTGGGCCCACTGCAGGAGCCAGCCATCTTGTCCCCTGATGTCCTTGAGATTGGTGGGCTGTGTGTCCTTCTGGCTAGAGTCCTCCTGGGGACCCCCCTTCCCGCTTTGCAGGAGCCTCTGTAAACAGCACCCCCTAGTGTGTCCTTGCCGGGTGTCTGACGAGCTGGGAGCCAGGTGCAGTCCAGCAGGCCGGCCCGGCACCCAGCTGCTCCGGCCGTGAGTGTTCTCCGACCTTGGGGGAAGCTGGTAGGTCGGGGCTGGGTGCCTTCCCCGCTTCTCATTTTGCAGCGCTGCCCCCGATGACGTGCTGTGACGAGCGGGGGCCGACGGCTAGGAAGAGGGAGCCTGGTGGCAGGGCCTTGCACGGTGGTCTGGATCCCAGGTTTCGTCCACAGCACGACAGACGACACCCCCCTCTCCCGCCCTGTCCCGGGGACCGCGAGCCCGGGATCGGCTGGCGGGGCCACCGCCCACACACCCACTGTGGACGGAAGGCGGGCCCCGCTCCCCTCCGGGCGGACCTGAGCACCCCGGCTGAGGCTGCCTCCTGCGCTGACCGCCCGGCGACACCCAGTGCTCACTCTCCGTGAGGCCCCGACCGTGACCACCCTGGACCTGGCATTTCTGGAGTCACTGTGGCTAACCCCTGTGGCCCTCACCCTAGCGACCACCAGCAACCCCCGGCCCTGGCTGGTGCCCCTGCCTCCCGCCGTCTCCACCCTGCCCACCCCTGGCGTGGCACCGCTCAGGTGTGAGCCTGGTGCCAGTGTCCACAATGTCCATTGTCCTTACACGAAGACCACTGCCTCCTGTGCTTATTTGGGAGGTGGGGCAAGGGTGCAGGGGGAGGGGACGAGCTGGGCCCCTTTCTCCCCAGCTCCTTCGAGTCCCTGGAGTGGCAGCCCAGTGGCTGGCCTTGGGTCTTTACCTGGTCAGGTGTGGCCAGCCCCAGGTCCCCTGCCCTTGCAGCTTCTGGCCGAGGGCTAGGCAGGTATTCCACTGTGGGCCTGCCCACCCACCCACTTGGGAAAATATTTCCTGGGCCCACAGTGTGGGCATGGTGTCGGGGTGGGGGCAGCATCTGCTGTAGTTGGGAATAGCCAGGTCTCAGGGTGACCTCCGTGAGCTGTGATGACCAGCAATTAGGTGGTTCCAGGAAGGGCCCCCTCCTGACCTAGTCCCCTCCTGCAGTGCTGGAGTTGGGGGGGGTCAGGGACAGCCAGTAGCCCTGGGGCTCCTGTGTGACATGCACTGCATCACCACCCACCCTCCCGATAGGCCCTCCACTACCTGGTCTGTCCTTAAGACCCTGGTGCTGCTGTGACCCTGGGGAGCAAAACCAGCAGGGAAGGGGGGCAGGCTCTGGAGTGACTCATCCTTGGGTGGAAGGGGGAGGGTGCAGCAGTGGGGGGGGTGAGTGGGCTGGGTTCCACGTCCAGCAGGAAGACGGAGAGCCTCTGGTCCAGACTGCCTGTGGGGGACACGCCACTGTCTCCCCCAGGGTGCAGGCAGACCTGTCGGAAATGCTGCCTGAGGCTCCATGGCCCATCCTCCAGCTTCCGGGGGCTCCCGGGTCCCCGAGCTGGGGCCACATGGTTCTGAGACCTGCTCTCCTGCCCTCCTCCCCACTCTCCGGACCTCAGGCTCTGGTTACGGGCTTGAGCTCACACCAGCTAGGGCCACAGACCTGGCCTATGAGCTGGCAAAGGGGGCTGGTTGCCCTGACCCGCCGCTGTCTCCGGAGATGCGGTTCCAGGGCTCCAGGCCAGGGGCTTCTCAAGAGGCCTGGAGCCCAGCCGCCTGCCCGGCGAGGTCCACCGGGTGAGCCTGGCCTGGTAGACAGCCTGCACCTGTGGTGCCAAGTGCGCCTGCTTCGGATTCCAGGTCACCCCCACAGCCTTCCTCCCCAGTGGCCTTAGCATCCTTCCAGGGCTGCAGGGGACACCCAGGCTCCTCCCCTTCCCAGCCCCTCTGCTCCACCTGAAAGGCCGAGGGCACCTGGTCCAGACCCCTCCATACCGGCCTCCTGTAGGAGCCTCCCCATCCCCTTGTGCCCCTGACGGGGGCCTCTGCCCTTCCTCGGCCCCTCCCACTTCGGACCGTGTGGGCTGACAGGCTGCTCCCCTGGGACCCTCAGGGCTTCCCCGTGCCCTGGAGGTGGGTCCAGATGCCTTGGTGGTGGTGCGGGTTGTGCCTGTCTCACTGGTGCCTGAGGATAGCGAGCTGATTTCTGACACAGACAGAAGTGACTGGTGGGGTTGGAAACACGGAAGGCCACGCCGCCCTTCATTGCCTCAGCTTCCTCACGTGTAAGGTGGGGATGGGGACGGGAGGAGGACCGAGTCTGCAGGCCTGCTGGGAGGCCGCCAGCCAGAGGGGTGACCAGCCAGGTGGGTGACCCCGTCAGAGCCGACGTGACTGCCGCCCGTGCTGCCACCCGATGCCCCAGGGCTCTGTCCCCAGCCCCGCCTGCAGGAGCTCGGCCGGTGGCCTCTCGAGACTCCCACTGTGACGGCTTCCGTGTGCAGAACAGTTGGTGCAGCCTCATCACCTGCAGCCACTTGCCCCTCGGCGCGGACTAAGAACGCAGCCGCGGCTCCCCCCAGACCCTGACTCTGCTCCTCGCTGGCTGGAGACTGGACGCAGGAGCCTGTGTCCAGCGAGTTTGCTCCTGTGGGCCTCCCCCGGTCAGTCAGCTTTGGAGTCAGGGTGTGTGTGGGGTTGTTCGTTTTTTAACTTAAACTGCATATTCCTGTCTGCCTCCGTGTCATCGTCTCTCAGGCCCTGGCTGAATTTGTGTGTGTACCCCCTTCCTCACTGTGCGGTTTTCCTTGCCTTGGGGCCGGAGGTAACAATAAAAATGGTTTTTCACACTGTGAACCCCAGCAGCCTCCTGACCCCCGTCCTGGGCGCGAGGTCAGCAGCCGCGGCAGCTGGGGGCGTCCTCTCCTGGGGTCCCTGCCCTGTCCCTGGTACCACGGCCACTGACAGCCTAAATTACTTCTGGTCACATTGTCCCTTTAGTTAAAAATGCACACGAGGGAGTATGGTTTTCATTTTATTTATTTAGACAATTTTTTAAAATTGATTTGAGAGCGAGAGACAGGAATGGGGGTTGGGGGTAACATCAATTTTTTATTCCACTTTTCTATGCATCATTGGTTGTTTCTAGTATGTGCCCTGACCGGGGTCAAACCCGCAACCTTGGTGTGTGCGGGTGCTCTTACCAACTGAGCTACTGGCCAGGAAGGAACCATGGTTTTTTGCTTTGTTTTGAGATTCTATTTATTTTTAGAGAGAGGGGAAGGGAGGGAGAAAAACACCACTTGGTTGCCTATCGCACACCCCCAGCCAGGGGCCCGGCCCACAGCCCAGGCCTGTGCCCTGAGCAGGAACTGAAGTGGGGGGGGGGGGCACCCAACCAGCTGGGCCACACCAGCCAGAGCGGGACTCTGGTTTTTAAACATAAGTTCCGCCAGGTCCCTGGAGGAGGAACACCCTGAAAATATTCAGACGACTGCGACCTTGTTTTTCAGACTTTTCTCTACAGCAAGAGCCCAAACAGTCTAAAACAGCTCAAGCAACCAGCGGGCTCCGTGCTGGCCAGTGTCACTGAAACAGTGTCACTTTAGGAGAGCCGGGCCAGGGAAGGTCGGCGAACAGCCAGTTCTGGCGAGAGCGGCTGCCCGGGAAGGAGCCTGGGGTCTGCGCGCTCAGACTCGGCCCCAGGGAAAGACCAGGAGGCCCAACACCCTCCGCCCCCAGCGGAGACCAGGAGAAGGCCTCAGCGGTGGACCCCAGCGGAGGCGTCCAAGGACTGGAAAAGCCTCCTGAGGGGAACTCTCACAAGCGGCGGGCCTCTGGGGGCACGGCAGCAGGGCGAGTGGACGCCAGATGGACTCCGCAGGTGCTGGATGACCAGGTAGGACAGGACAGGGGAGTCACACTCCCGGACTGACTGTTCCCGGACCAGCACGCAGCCCCAGGCAGGGGAGGGGTGCTGGCTGATTCCCTCCAGACGGCCTCCGGGGCAGTTTACAGCGAACACTCTCCCTTCGGACTGGTCCAGCTCCAGGGTCAGGCAGAGGTCACGCCTTGGAGGGGTCCCTCCTCCCCACCTGGTATCTGAATGACAGTTTCAGTGGGACAGTATGGTTCCAGATAGAGTCCGAAAGGCCGCTGCCGGCACCAATGAATCAGTCCCAAGAAGCAGCCTGATCCCCTAGGGGGTCGAGCCAAAGTGTCCAACAAGACCCCAAACAAGGCCTGTTAACAGAAAAAAGGAGCCTCCCAAGATTCTGCATAGATCCTGAATAAAGCCCGGACAACTTCAGAACACAACCCGCAGAAGCTCAGGTCCGGGAGAAAAACACCCTTTAGCCCCCGAGCTCTGGAGAAAAACGGCTAACTTAGATGGCGCTGTGGGCGCCACACCTGTTTGCTCGCTAGCCCTGGAGCCGTGGGGGCCTCCCCTGGCGTGAGCCGCAAATATGCCGGACGTAAGTAAAACGTCGGCTGGGTGTCCTCGCGGCAAAAAGAATCCATGCGGGGTAAAGACGGACTGCGATCCGGAATGGGATGCCAAGGCCAGCCAGGTGGGGGTTTCCACCCGGAGGAAAATGGAGAAAGTACTGGAGAGAGCGGAAGAGGAAGTTGAGGGTGGGGGTCTTCACCCTGCAGGTGCTGGGTCCGGACCCCGGAGCCGACCCCGCAGGGCCCCCGGGTGACGCGGGTGTGAGAGCTCCTCCCACACTCCCTGTCTGGATTAACCTTCTGCTATAAATGTGGCCACCGGCCTTCATCTGCGCTGCCTCTCGGACCCTCTCTCCCGCACGTCCGTACTTCACCTAACGTTAAACTCCGCAGGGTTTCCGCGGGAGGGCGATGGCGGACGCCGGCGTGAGCGGCGGCACGGGCGGCGGGCGGAGGCAGGGGCGTCCCTCCCGAAGAGGTGCGGGCAGCGGAGAGACGTGGCGGCTCTCCCGGACCGGCCGAGGGTGCGCGCAGAGTCCGTCTCGGCGGGCGCGACGGCCCCGGCGGCAGGAGCGAGGACCCGGGGCTCCGTGGGGTCTGCGGAGCGCGCACGGTTGCCAAGCGACGCGTCCAGTGGCCCCCACCCGCTGGCCCCGCCTGTTTGAGCGCGCGCGACGTCACTCCCAGCGACGAAGACGGAACCTTTGGGACGCCTCTACGTCACTCTCGGAGACGGCGGCGCCGCCTGGTGACGTCAGGACGCTGGCGCAGGTCGGCGGGCAGTTCCTGTGAAGACCGCGGGCCTCGGCTGCGTACGCCCGGGGCCGAAGCGCTCTCGGCAGCTCGACGCCCGCTGGGTGGGCCTTCCTCCGCCCGCCGCCGGGGTTCTGAGACGGCGGGGAGGCTTCTGGGCCGCCGTGTGTCCGCCCGCGCCGCGCGTCCCGACGCGGTACGTCGCCGGCGCCGCCGCTTCGCGTCATGACTTCCGGGAGCCGTGGCCGCCATCTTGCTCGTGCGGAAGAGCCGCGACTGGGTGGGAGCCCGGAGCCGGAGAGTGCGGACGGGGCGGCCGCCGCCATGCCGTCGTCGCCGCTGCGGGTGGCGGTGGTCTGCTCGAGCAACCAGAACCGTAGCATGGAAGCCCACAACATCCTCAGGTAGGCGCGCCCTTGGGACGCCCTGGCCCGAGCTGGCGGCGGTGGTTCCGAGGGAAGCCCGAGGGGCCGCGGGGCCGCGCTCGCCGGCCCCGGGGGCAGAGCGCTGCGAGGAGCGGAGGAGGCTCAGTCGGTCGCGCGGTGCCCCCACGAGTGCGT